CCCAGCCCCTCAGGGGCTGCCCCAGCCCGGCCAAGCTGCCCGGCAGCAGCGCCGCAGCCCCACCGCAGCTCCAGAGCAGCCCCATCCAGAGGCACCTGGGAGCCCTCAGCAAGGCAGCCAGCAGCACACGGGCAGGAGGACACGGCTGGCGCTTCCTGCCTGGCACAGGGCTTGTGGCCATCTCCAGGCACCGCTCTGGCAGGGATCCCCGCAGCCCCGGCCCCTGCCCAGCTGCTCTGTGGGCAGCAGAAGGGCTTCAGCAGAACCACCACAGACCAAGGGGCTTCTGGCCATTTTCCCTGCAGCACTGCATGCCTGGGCAGCTGGCTGAGCGCAAGCACCCTTTTTCCCCCTCCTCCCCTATGCCCTACGGACCCTGGGCAGGAAAAGAAAGATCCTGGGAGTCTGTTTATTGGACCACATTCTATATTTACATAGTAAAGGAAAACAAAAGAAGAAAATAACAGTCTTGAAAACAAGGAAAATCCCCGCTTGCTCAGGGCCCAGCAGACAGAGCCTCTGGGATCATCTCTCCACAGAGCTCCAGCAGCAGAGGCCGCCAAGGCCTGAGAGACGAAGCCTTTTTTTCCACGCCCTGCGGAGCCGATCTTCCAGGTCCTCCAAGATGGAATATCGAATTGTAGCTTCTGCCCTGAGAATGTGTAAAGTTTGAAGAGCGAGGCTTCTGACAGAAAGGCTGATGTCATCTGCCATTTCTTCAAGGGCTGCAAGAGAGAGGAACAGAATCACAGTCAGACACCGGATCGGCGGGGAGCCGAGGAGAGCCCCCTGCCAGGGCCATCCCAGCCGGCTCTTGCCATGGCCAGGAGGGAGCAGGGAGCAAGGGGATCAGCCCGAAGCTGCTGGCCACCAATGGCCCACGTGGCCCTGAAATCTCAGTGTGCTCTGCCCATGGGAGCAGAGCCCTCCGCAGCCAGGGCAGGGCTTGCAGCTCCTCCTGGCAGTCCCTGCTGTCAGCCCGCTGCCCTCACTCACTCACCAGTGCAGATCCGCTGCAGCTCTTGCTGCTGCCCCCTCAGGTGCCGCCCGGCCATGCCTGTGAACACAGAGCCTGTCACGGCTCTTGCAAATAAGAAGCTTGACTAGGCCAATATTCAAGCAGCAATCAATTTATTATGTAATATGGTAAAATATGAGCAATACAGCGCTGGTTATGGTGGGGGAAGTTTTCCCTACAACTGCACACCAATAATTGAGGCTTACAGGTATTTATAGGGGTACTCATCAGGTTTTTCAGCAGTTTCTATTTTGAATTTTTACTCATCAGGAGTTTCTATTCCAAATTTTTATGTCACAATTCTATACACGATTGTGATTTAGTTTTTCTCAGGATGTATCTCAAAGGAGTATCCCCAGATGGTAGGGGTCTGGTTTCTGAAAGAAGAAAGACGAATCCCATCTGGTGGAGTCCAGCTCCCCAGATGTGTGTCCACCTTTTAATTGCAGAGACTATAAATCTAATAACAGTGATGTCCAGCTTGCCTTGGTTGAAACCATAAATCCTTAAGGTGATGTTCATCTTCCTTTCTCAAGCTGTTTTTCTCTGCTTCAATAAGGCGTGAGATAAGCATGTTTCCTTTATATGTATCCTAAAGCTATAGTTTCAAGGACACCAGCAATATTCTAAAATCAAACTTCAAAAGGTTATTATTGCAGAACTATTTAAGGATTAACTACAAGCAAAAAGCAACATCCTTAACGCTTTAATTCCAGTGCTCCTAAATCAACTAAAGATAATTGCAAACAAAGGATAGGTTCAAAGGCCTTCTTCCACGCTTTGCTTTCCTCAGTTATTATTAGAATTTGCAACTGTCCCATTGTCGGTCTCCACACATATCGCAATCACAAATACCCGCATTGCCTGTATGTACCTGACACGAAACACAGCTTTGTATTTCACACCCCCAGCTGCTCCCTGCCCTGGGCCGTGCGGGCCGGCTCGGCCGGTGCTGGGCACAGGGAGCACCCGGCCGAGGGGCAGAGCCCGCGCCGAGCCTCCCCTGTCGGTGCTCCCCGCAGCTGCTGCAGGACAAGAGCCGAGCGGCCGAGCACCTGCACTGGGCCCTGCCGCGCCTGCAGAGCCCACAGAGGCCCCTGCGAGAAGCGGCCGTCAGGTTCATTGCTGAGCCCCGAGCCCGGCGCCCCTCCCTGCCCCCGGCCCGGCTGCTGCCCCCGGCCCGGCTGCTGCCCCGGCTACAGCGGGAGCCGCGCCCGGGCCGCTGCAGCCCCGCCCGCCCTGGGCGCTGCCGCCGCCCTCCCGCAGCCGTGCCCTGGGGCGGCAGCGGGCGGCAGGGCCCGGCAGGAGCCCTGCCCGGGAGGAGGGCGTGCGGCCGCAGGGCTGGCAAAGCCCGTGTCGGGCAGCTGTGCTGCCTGGGGCCGCCACATGCTCTGTCTTGCCAGGGGTGGCCGGAGTGCTCGTGATGGGGCAGCAGGAGGAGCTCCAGGTCCTTACTGAGGGTGAGTCAGGGCAGCCGCGTGGCAGCGAGCACTGCCGGGCGGGGGCAGCTCCAAATGCCGGCCCCGCAGCTGCAATCCCTGCCCGGGCTGCCGAGGGCTCTGCTCCCTGTATGGACGAGGGGCGGCAGGGACAGAGACCGGAGAACTGCCCGGGACACGTGGGGGATCCGTGGCCAGCACCTTCCGGCCGAAGCCATGGCAAGAGCCGGCTGGGATGGCCCTGGCAGGAGGCTTTCCTTGGATTCCCTCAATCTGGCCTCTGACCTTGGCTCTGTTCCTCTCTCTTCTAGCTCTTCAAGCCCTGAAGGAAGACGAGAGTCCATCGTGCATGAGCAAACTGCTTCAGATGACCTTTGATAGAAGATCTTCAGGACTTTGTTTGTCTGATGGATCAGATGTACCAGCGTCCATTAGCGATTTCCAGTGCCCATTGAAGATGGGAGCACCTGCAGAGCAGGATGGACCCGCTGGAGCTCCAGGCACAGCTCTGGCTGCTCACAGCTGAGCCTGTGCGAAGCTCCAGGAGCTCCTGCCATCTCTCTCCCTGTTGACAGCTCCTTCCCTTCCCTGCAGCCCTCAGGCCCTGCCCATCCCCTTTTCTGCCTCCCAGCTCACCCCTTACCTTCGCTTTCCCTTAATAAACGGTTTGTGTTTTTCACTTGACCTGCGTCTCCGTGGAGCTGAAGCGGCACAAAACCTGAGCCCGGGGACACGCAGGGCCCTGCTGCCCTTCTCCTCCGCGCTGTGTTCCGTGCACGGACAGATAGGAACAAGGGCAGCTCAGGCTGCAGAGGTCCCTGTCCCGCTGCTCCCGGGGCCATTTCCAGCCAATCAGAGCGTTTGTCGCTGATGACTCATCAGTTGCAGGAGCGGAATTTGGGGCGGGGGGAGGTGACCCCGGGGATGGGGATGGGACGTGCGGGGGCAGCCGGGGCCGCACTGGTGGCACTGGGGGTGCTGGGAGCCCCCCCGGCCGCGGGGGGAGCGGGGGGCTGGGGGAGAAGGGGGGCCCCAAATTAACCCAAAGGGGGGTCGGGACTCCCAAAGGGAGCAGGAGGCGCCTGGAACCCCCAAAACCAAGCACGGGAGAGGGCACTTGGGACTGGGGGAACGATGGGAAAGGGGCGGGAGAGCAGGGGGAAGGAGGGGGAGGGGGTCCCAAACAGGATCAAGTCAACTTGATGTGGCTGCCTTCAGAGGGGGATGGCAGCCAAAGGTAGCCAATGGTAGCCAGAGCTTTTTCCCAGTCCGTGTGATCCCAGTCTGCGCAATCCCAGTCCATATAATCTCAACCCAGTTTATCCCAGTCTGTATTGTCCTGGTCTGTATGGTCCCATTCCATATGGTCCCAGCCCATATTTGATCCCAGTCCATACTTGATCCCAGACTGCGTGAACCTGCACGCACGCCCAGGGTCTGGAATTCCAGTTCCCAGCCAGGAAAAAATGTTCGTGCCCTTGAACTTCCTTCCTATCCTCTCAGAAAAATGCAATAAAATTATAAAAATCAAAAAAAAAAAAATTTAAACTGAAATTAAATAAATTATTATAAAAATACAATATAAAAATCTCAAGTCTTCTTTACAATACTCCAACAATGATTCAACCCAAACCAACAACTATTACTATAATATTACCAATGCATATAAATAAACAAATTATATACCAAGAAATACATTTGAAAGTTTTAACTCAATAACTAATATACTTTAGATAAAAAATATCTAAAAAAACTAAACTACAATCTAACACACCTTAGGAAAACAATTCATATTACAAATACACTAAACACAAAACCAAACACCACTATAATTTTTCATACATTTTAAGCAAACAATTAAACTTTAATAACATCCTTAAGTACTCTTGAACAATTAATTTTTTTTTCAAACTTCTAATTTCGGGTGCATGGTTTTATTTGGATCTTGGTTTTTGGATTGTTTGGGTTAGATGATTTAAAAAATGAGATTTTTAGAGGAATTTAATCAGCTGAGAAGGCAGCACTCTGCAAACAGAACTGACTGAAACTGAATGGGATGGAAATAAGTAACTCTCAAAGTTTTCTTTGCTATCAAATACATCCCACCCAGCCACCCCACACAATCCCCATCCCACTGCTCTAAATTGGGATCCCACTTCTACCAATCACCTCCCAACCCCAACTCACCCTGGTGGTGGTGGAATCAAGTGACTCTGGCATGGAACTGAGTTTTTGTGAGGTAGGAATAAGCAATTTGAGGTGGGATTGAGCCCTGTTGGGTTAAAATTCAGTTGTTTTCAGTGGGATTTGAGTGGTTTTGAGGTGACAGATTGATCCCTCTTGACTTTTGGAGAGCAAAGACATGGAGAAGAGAAAAAAATTTAAGCCAAACCAAAAGGAGAAGCAGCCAGGTGTGTTCCCAACATGGATCACAGGGAATGTGAGTGACCAGGGCTGTGCCCAAAGTGCCTCCTCCAGTGGGGGATGGAGCTGGAGCAGCACACAAAGCTCTTTCCACACTCGGGGCACTCACAGGGCTTCCCTTACCGGTGCCTCCGTTGGTGTTGGATCAAGTTAGAGCGCTGTGAGAAGCTCTTCCCACACTTGGGACACTCGTAGGGCCTCTCACCAGTGTGGATACGCCGGTGGTAGATCAGGTTAGAGTGCTGGGTGAAGCCCTTCCCACATTCCTCACACTTGTAGGGCCTCTCCCCAGTGTGTATGCGCTGGTGACAGATCAGGCTAGAGCGCAAGGTGAAGCTCTTCCCACACTCCCCACACTCGTGGGGCCGTTCCCCAGTGTGGGTCCTCTGGTGCCTGATCAGGTGGGAGCTCCGGCTGAAGCTCTTCCCACATTCCTCACACTCGTGTGGTCTCTCCCCAGTGTGGATGCGTCGGTGCCTGACAAGACTGATATTCTGCCTGAAGCCCTGCCCGCAGTCGGGGCAGCGGAAGGGCCTCTCCTCTGTGTGCGTGCGCTGGTGCTGGAGGAGATTGGAGCTGGTCGGAAACCTCTTCCTGCATTGATCACACTCGTAGGGCCGTTCCCCAGTGTGGGTCCTCTGGTGCCTGATCAGGCCAGAGCTCCAACTGAATCTCTTCCCACATTCCCCACATACATAGGCTTGTTCCCCAGTGTGGATCGCCCGGTGCTGGATCAGACTGAAGCTCGTCGTGAAGCTCTTCCCACATTGCCCACACTTGTAGGGCCGTTCCTCAGTGTGAATCATTTGGTGGCGGATCTGGTCAGAGCTGGATCTGAACCTCTTTCCACACTCCCCACACTCGTAGGGCTGTTCCCCAGTGTGGATCATCTGGTGGCTGCTCAGGTAGGACCTGAGTTTAAAGCTCTTTCCACATTCCCCACACACGTGGGGCCTCTCTCCACTGTGGGTCCTCCTGTGGCGATTCAGGCTGGACCGCCACCTGAAGCTCATCCCACATTCCACACACGTGTGGGGCTTCTCCCCATCATGGAGCTGCTCATGGAGCACCAGCTCCGAGCTCTGGCTCAATTTCCGCCTGCCTTCCTGGCCCTGGCTGGCTCTTTCCCCCTCAGATCCCCTCCAGCTGCGTTTGCAGCCCCTCCTCGTGCGGCATCTCCGGGGCTTTTCCTCCCCATTGCCTTCGTACGCCATGGAGCCGCTCAAAACGGCCTCTGCCACCAGGTTCTGCTGCGGGCATTTGTCCTCCCTGCTCTCCATGCTCAGCTCCTGCTCTGGGGGAGGAAGGACAAGGGCAGGATGGGATTTGCCTCCATGCCACAGGCAAGGGCAGGGAGATCCCCCCAGGGCTGTGCTGCAGCCGGGGCTGTGCTGGGCTGGGAGATGGAGCAGCACAGAGGGGAAAGGGGCACTGACTTCCTCCTCACCTGCCTCAGTGTCCCGGGGCATCTTCCTCTTCCTGACAGCCTGCCAGAGGTCGGGAATGGGAAATCCTGGTTTGGGGAAAACAAGGGATGAGCATGTTGAGTTTGAAGATCCCTCTGCCCAAGTCCATCTCTACAAGTCACTGGACACCTGGGCTTCAGAAAAACCTCCCAAACACCAAGATTTAGCCCTGAAAAAGCTTCCCAGGAGTTCCCCGTCCCTGGTGCCTCCCCTCTGCTGTTCGGGGGCTCCCCCCTGTCCCAGCTGCTTGGGGTCACGCTTGGATTGGGGCTACCCCTTCTCCTCGGCGCCCGCCCTGCCCAGGCTGCTGGCAGTCCCAGCAATGCCAAAATCTCCCCCTCTTGGCTCTCCCCATTTCGGGATGCCCGGGCTCTTTGGGCTCCCGGGCTCCCTTCTCCCCTCATTCTCTGCTCGGGACTGCAGCGGCTCCAAGGAGTCCCCCCTGCCCCTCTCCAGGCTCTTGAGGCTCCCGCCAATGACGGCGCTCCCCCCTCTCTGGGCTCCCCACTTTTGGCTCCTGGGAGACACAGGGCTCTGCTCCTCCAGGCTGCCTCTGCCGGCAGCCGCCACCGGCACCCCCCGATGTCCCCCCGAGGGGCCTTTTCCGCTCAGCCTTGGACTGCTTCATTCTCCAAACATCCCCCCAAAAAAAACCAATGCAGGGACCCCCACCCCAGGATATCTGGGCTGAGCTCCCCCTCACCAGTCACCATCTCATGGGTGGGGGCTGCGAATTCAGGGAGGGTTTGGTGGTGCTGAGGCACCTAAACCTGCACTGTCTTCCACAGGAGCGGCCAAGGGAACAGCAGGGCTGGGGGCAAGCCACAAGGAAGGACTACCACAGCCACATTCCTGGATTCACTCCTCCACCAAGGAGCTTGCAACCTGGAGGGGATATCCCACAGGAGAGCAGCTCCATGTCACACCCCCAACACCTGCCCTGCTCCAGGGCTGAATCCAGAGCCTGTTTCTGCCTGCCTGAGAGCACAGAGGGAGCTGCAGGACATCTCAGCTCTCCCTGGATCCTTCTCTTCTCCAGGTGAGCACCCCCAGCTCTCCCAGCCTAGCTCCAGATCACAGGGTCTCCAGCTCTTGGGGCATCTCTGGTGCCTCATCTGGACTAGATCCAGCAGCTCCAGATCCTTTCTGTGCTGGGCCCAAGGGCTGGGGCAGCTCTGCAGGTGGGGACTCACCTGAGTGGGGCACAAGAGCAGAATCCCCCCCTTCTCTGCCGCCCACACTGGGACTCAGTCCAGGCTGAGGGGGGGCTTCAGGGCTGCGACTTCCTTCTACTTTCCTCGATCTGCCTTTGTCCCTCCTCTTTGTCTTCCTCCCACTCCTCCTCTTCCATCCCTCCTTCTCCTCCTCCCTCAGCCCAACTCCTTCTCCTCTTCTATCCCTTCTGGCTCTCCTCCTTCAAACTTCCCCTTCCCTCCCTCCTCCTCCCCCCTAACCCCTGCTCCTCCTCCCCCTTCATCCCTGCCCTTCCCTCCCTCCTCCTCCTCCCCCAGCAGCAGCCACACCCTCGCTGCCCCGTTCCCGCAGCCCTCGCAGCCCGTGGCAGGAGCGGGGATGGAGCCAGGACAGGTCGGGATGGGCAGCGCGGGGCTCTCGGCTGCTCCCAGCCACTGCGGGCGGGGGGAACCCGGACCGGGCCAAAGGAGAGGCAAACTGGGCAAACTGGGGGCTGCACATCCAAACTGGGCCTTGCTGGGGACCCTGCCTGGCCACTGCCAGCCCTTGGGGCTCCTCTTGGCACATCCGCCAAGGGGGGAACGCACACAGGGCTGGGGGATCCCAGCAGTGGCAGCACTGGGACTGGATTCTACTGGGAGTAACTGGGCATGACTGGGACCACGCTGGCAGGGACTGGGATCATCTATGGATTGGCTGGCACTATACTAGGGACAACTGGGATCACACTGAGATGAACAGAGAGTGACTGGAACCGTGCTGGGGGCTACTGGGATCCTACTGGGATCACAGGAGAAGCTGGCCAATGCTGGGAGTCACTGGCATCATACTGGATCCCACTGGCAGCCACTGGGACTGCACTGAGGGTGACTGGGAGTGGCTGTGAGCAACTGGCATCAGGCTGCAAGCAACTCAGGGCAACTGGGAGGGACTGGGAACATGCTCAGAGTAACTGGGATACACTGGGAGAGACTGAAACCACCCTGGGGGTAAATGGGAGCAACTGGAACCACACTGCATGATCATGGGAGCAGCTGTGCCCATGCTGGGATCATACTGGGATCCTATGGGAAATGGCTGAGATCATACTGGGAGTGACTGGGAAGGTGCTGGCTCCAACTGGAACCATACTGGAAGCAACTGGGAGCAACTGGGAGCAACTGGGCCCCCACTGGGAGTTCCAGGGAGTCACTCTGAGCATGACTGCAATAACACTGGGAGTATCTGGGACTGACTGGGGTCATACTGGGGGTGACTGGAACCATACTGGGAGTGACTACTGCTCTGGCTGGGGTCATCCTGGGAGCCACTGGGATCATACTTTGGGCAACTGCCAGAAACTGGGATCATGCTGGTGGCAACTGGGAGGAACTGGGAAAGACTGGGATCATTCTGAGCTAACTAGAACTGTACTAGGCACACTGGGATATGCTGGGAGTGTCTGTGACCACACTGAGGGGGCTGGAAGCACACTGGGAACAGCTGGGACCATGCTGGGGGCAATTGGGAGTTAGTGGTACTGTGCTGAGAGGGACTGGGACTATTCTAGGGAAAACTGGGACCATACTGGGATGACAGTGACAGCAGCTGGATCCATACTGGGTGAGACTGAGATCACACTGAGGGTGATTGGAATCATACTGGGATTGACTGGGAGTGGTCTGAGCAACTGGAAAGAAGAGGGAGTCACTGGGAGCAACCTGGGGGTGGCTGGGATAGAGTGGGAGAGACTGGGAATCACTGGGATTATATTGGAGGCTCTTGGGGTCATGCTGGCATTGACAGGGAGCAACTGGGATCACACTGGGGGCCACTGGCATCAGAGTGGGAGTGACTGCGAGTGATTTGAGTTACACTACAAGTGACCAGGATCATGCTGGGAGTGACTGGAGTTACACTGCAAGTGACTGGGATCATACTGGGACTGACCGGGATCATACTGGGACTGACTGGGATCATACTGGGAGTGACCAGGATCATACTGGGAGTAGCTACAATTGGACTGGGACTGTAGGGGGTGTGATTGGTCCCTGTCTGGGGGGTGCTGGGAGCTGCCAGGCGCATGCTGGGAGCCGACTGCGCAGCCACTGGGAGCAACTGGGAGCAGCTGGGAATGGCAGGATGCAGCTGCAGCAGCGGCAGCTCCCCGGTGGCCCCGTGCCGGTGCCGCTCGTGGTGCCGGCTCTGGCTGTGCCGAGATCCCGCTGGAAGGGGATCCCAGCCAGGGACCACATGGACACCAACCGGGGGAACCCCGGGCCGGGCTCCGACAGCGCCACGGGCAGGGAACGCAGGGACAGGAGAACTGGGGGGACACCGAGATTTGGGGGCTGGGGGGCACAGGGGGAACCAAAGGGGGAACCAAAGGGAGAGCTGGGAGAGCAGGGAACGGGGTTTCGGGGTTCAGGGACTGAGAAAAGGGGAGGCTGCGGTGGGCAGAGGGGGGACGGGCTGGGCTAAGGGGGTTCCTGCATGCAGGAAAGGGAGCTCCAAGGGTCCCCAGTGTCCCCATTCCATGCAAAAGGTGGGAAAAGCCAGGATGGCTGGGAATAGGGGCCCCGGGTGTCCTCGGTGTGGAGGAGGGGCTGAGGAATGGGAAAGGCAGGAATTGGGGTCCAGGGGGTCTCTGGGGGAAGGAAAAGGGGGCTCTGGGGGCTGGGAGAGGCGGGATGGCCGGGAAGGAGGTGCAGGGTGGGTCCCCTGCCCGGGAATGGGGGTGCGGGGTGATCCCGGGGCCCAAGAATGGGGGTTCAGGGCCCCCCCGGTGCTCCGGGATGGGCGATCAGACAGTCCCGGTGCCGGGGGTGCCCCTCAGCTCTCGCCGCCCCCCGGGCCCCAGAAGCGCCCCCAGCCCCAGCGCTGGAGCCATCGCGCTGCTCCTCCTCACTCCCAGTGTGATCCCAGTACGGTCCCAGTAGAACTCAGTCACCCGGGAGCTGCTCCCAGGATGATCCCAGTACAGCCCAGTCACTCCCACTGCTGCCATCCCTCCCCACCCCTCGCTCCGTTCCGACCTGGCCCGGCTCCATCCCCGCTCCTCCCGCCGGCTGCGAGGGCTCCGGGACCGGGGCAGGAGGAGGCAGGGAGGAAGAGGCGGAGCGGCAGCAGGAAGCGGCGGGAGCAAAGCGCGGTCGCAATCGGGCGGCTCGGGCGCTGCCTGAACTCCGGGCCCCGGGAGCATCGCCCCCCATCCCGCAGGTGCCCGGGGAGGTTCCCCCCTGTCCCAGCTGCTGGGGGTCCCACTTGGACTGGGGGTGCCCTGTCCACTCGTTGCCCGCCCTCCGCAGGCTGCTGGGAGACCCAGTTGGCTCCCAGCATGGGCCTGGTAGCTCCCAGTAACCCCCAGTCAGGGTCCAATCACACCCACTCTAACCCCAGTATGATTGTAGCCACTCCCAGTATGATCCCAGTCACTGCCAGTCTGATACCAGTGCCCCCAGTGTGATCCCAGTTGCCCCCTGTCAATGCCAGCATGACCCCAGGAGCCTCCAGTGTGATCCCAGTGACTCTCTGTCTCTCCCAGTATATCCCAGTCACCCCCCACATGCTCCGAGTCACTCCCACTTTCTACCAGTTGCTTTCAGCACAATTCCAGTTGCTCACAGCCACTTCCAGTCAATCCCAGTATGATTCCTGTCACTATCAGTGTGATCCCAGTCTAACCCAGCATGGACCCTGCTGCTCTCACTGTGATTCAAGTTTGATCCCATTTGCCCCCAACACAGTTCCAGTTGTTCCCATTTCCTCCCATTATGATCCCAGTTAACCTGAGATTAGTCCCAGTCCCTCCCAACAGGGTCTCAGTCATGCCCAGTTGCCCTGAGCATTGTCCCAGTTGCCCCCAGCAAGATCCCAGCTGTTCCCAGTGTGGTTCCAGTCTCCCCAGTATGGTTACAGGCATTCCCAGTACATCCCAGTTGCCCCAGTATGGTTCTAGTTACCTCAGAATGATCCGAGGCTTTCCCAGTAACTCCCAGTTGCCCCAGTTATAGTCTCAGTCTTCTCAGCATGGTTCCAGAACCTTCCAGCCGATCACAGTTTCTCCCAATATATGCCCATTTTCCTCCCAACATGGGCCCAGTAGCTCCCAGTAAGCCCCAGTCAGGTTCCATTCATGCCCAGTATAATCCCAGCATGACTGGAGCCACTCCAGTATGATTCCAGTCACCTGCAGTCTAAACCTAGTTGCTCCCAGTCACTCCCAGTCTGATGGAGTGCCCCCAGTGTGATCCCAGGCATGGGCCCAGCTGTTCCCAGTGTGTTTCCATCACTCCCCTATGGTTACAGACACTCCCAGTATGGTCCCAGTTGAAACCAGTTGCCTCTGCTCTAGTCCCAGTCCCTCCCAGTATGGTCCCACTCACTCCCAGTCACCCCCAATGTGGTCTCAGTTCTCTCCAGCATGGTCCCAGCTGTTCCCAGTGTAGTTCCAGTCCCCCCAGTATGGTTACAGACACTCCCAGTATATCTCAGTTGCCCCCAGCATGTCTGTAGTCATTTCCAGACACTGCCAGTGGCCCCAGTAAGGTGTCAGTTCTTCCAGTATGATCCCCTAGTCATGCCCAGTATATCCCAGTTGCCTCCAGCATGCATCCAGTCCTTCCCAGTTCCTCCAGTTTGCTTGCAGCGTCATCCCAGTTTCTTTCAGTTGCTCCCAGTAGCCCAAAGTGTGATCTCAGTCACTCACTTTGACCCCAGTATGATCCCAGTAAACTCCAGTTGGATCCCAGTCACATGCCAGCCCACCCAGTGTGGTCCCAGTATAATCCCACTTGCTTCCAATCTCTCCCAGTATGGTCCCAGCTGCCTCCAGCATGGTTCCAGTTCTGTTCTAGATCAATCCAGTCAATCCTAGTATGATGCCATTTGCCCCATGCATACTCCCAGCTGCTCCCAGTAGCCTAAATTGTGATCCCAGTCACTCCCTTTCAACCTCAATATGATCCCAGTAGGCTCCAGTTGGATCCCAGTCACATGCCAGCCCTCCCATTGTGGTCCCAGTTGCTTCCAATTTTTCCCAGTATGGTCCCAGCTGCCTCCAGCATGGTTCCAGTTGCTTTCTAGATCAACCCAGTCAGTCCCAGTATGATGCCATTTGCTCCCAGCATGCTCCCAGTTGCTCCCAGTCAGGCCCTGTATGGGGGATGATGTGCAGAGTGTGTTCCCAGTCGCTCTCAGATCCTCCCAGTATTAGTCCAGTCCCTCCCAGTATGATCCAAAGATGAGCCCAATGTGCTCCCAGTCCCTGCCAGTGTGAACCAGTTGTGCTCCTCATGGTTCCAGTTGCTCTCTTTCACCCTCACTTTTGTTCCAGTCCCTCCCAGTATCTCCCAGTGTAGCCCAGTTCCCCCCAGCATGTTCCCAGCCACTCCCAGTTGGGTTTTTGAGGGGATGTTTGGAGAATGAAACAGTCCAAGGCTGAGCGGAAAAGGCCCCTTGGGGGGACATCGGGAGTGCCGGTGGCGGCTGCCGGCAGAGGCAGCCTGGAGGAGCAGAGCCCTGTGTCTCCCAGGAGCCCAAAGTGGGGAGCCCAGAGAGGGGGGAGCGCCGTCATTGGCGGGAGCCTCAAGAGCCTGGAGAGGGGCAGGGGGGACTCCTTGGAGCCGCTGCAGCCCCGAGCAGAGAATGAGGGGAGAAGGGAGCCCGGGAGCCCAAAGAGCCCCGGCATCCCGAAATGGGGAGAGCCAAGAGGGGGGAGCTTTTGGCATTGCTGGGACTGCCAGCAGCCTGGGCAGGGTGGGCACCGAGGAGAAGGGGGACCCACAATCCAAGTGTGACACCAGCAGCTGGGACGGGGGGGAACCTCCCCGGGCACCTGCGGGATGGGGGGCGATGCTCCCGGGGTCCGGAGTTCAGGCAGCGCTGGAGCCGCCCGATTGCGACCGCGCTTTGCTCCCGCCGCTTCCTGCTGCCGCTCCGCCTCTTCCTCCCTGCCTCCTCCTGCCCCGGTCCCGGAGCCCTCGCAGCCGGCGGGAGGAGCGGGGATGGAGCCGGGCCAGGTCGGAACGGAGCGAGGGGTGGGGAGGGATGGCAGCAGTGGGAGTGACTGGGCTGTACTGGGATCATCCTGGGAGCAGCTCCCGGGTGACTGAGTTCTACTGGGACCGTACTGGGATCACACTGGGAGTGAGGAGGAGCAGCGCGATGGCTCCAGCGCTGGGGCTGGGGGCGCCCCTGGGGCTCCGGGGTTGCGGCGAGAGCTGAGGGGCACCCCCGGCACCGGGACTGTCTGATCGCCCATCCCGGAGCACCGGGGGGGCCCTGAACCCCCATTCCCGGGCAGGGGATCCAACCTGCACCCCCTTATCCGACACCAGTGACCCCCGCACCCCCTTCCCGGCCATCCCGCCTCTCCCAGCCCCCAGAGCCCCCTTTTCCTTCACTCAGAGAGCCCCTTGACCCCAAATCCTGCCTTTTCCAGACCCCAGCCCCTAATCTCCTTCACACCGAGGACACCCGGGGCCCCTATTCCCAGCCATCCTGGCTTTTCCCAACTTTTGCATGGAATGGGGACACTGGGGACCCTTGGAGCTCCCTTTCCTGCATGCAGGAACCCCCTTAGCCCAGCCCGTCCCCCCTCTGCCCACCGCAGCCTCCCCTTTTCTCAGTCCTGGAACCCCCAAACCCCGTTCCCTGCTCTCCCAGCTCTCCCTTTGGTTCCCCCTTTGGTTCCCCCTGTGCCCCCCAGCCCCCAAATCTCGGTGTCCCCCCAGTTCTCCTGTCCCTGCGTTCCCTGCCCGTGGCGCTGTCGGAGCCCGGCCCGGGGTTCCCCCAGTTGGTGTCCATGGGGTCCCTGGCTGGGATCCCCTTCCAGCGGGATCTCGGCACAGCCAGAGCCGGCACCACGAGCGGCACCGGCACGGGGCCACCGGGGAGCTGCCGCTGCTGCAGCTGCATCCTGCCATTCCCAGCTGCTCCCAGTTCCTCCCAGTGGCTGTGCAGTCGGCTCCCAGCATGCGCCTGGCAGCTCCCAGCACCCCCCAGACAGGGACCAATCACACCCCCTACAGTCCCAGTCCAATTGTAGCTACTCCCAGTATGATCCTGGTCACTCCCAGTATGATCCCAGTCAGTCCCAGTATGATCCCAGTCACTCCTGATATGATCCCAGTTACACCCAGTATGATCCCAGTCACTCCCACTTCCCCCCACTTGCTTTCAGCATGATTCCAGTTGCTCACAGCCACTCCCAGTCAATCCCAGTATGATTCCAGTCACCCTCAGTGTGATCCCAGTCTCACCCAGCATGGACCCAGCTACTGCCACTGTCATCCCAGTATGATCCCTGTTGCCTCCAGCATAATTCAAATTGTTCCCAGTTCCTCCCAGTATGATCCCAGTTGTCCCTAGAATAGTCCCAGTCCCTCTCAGCATGGTCCCACTCACTCCCAGTTGCCCCCAGCATGGTCCCAGCTGTTCCCAGTGTGCTTCCAGCCCCCCCAGTATGGTCACAGACACTCCCAGCATATCCCAGTGTGCCTAGTACAGTTCTAGTTAGCTCAGAATGATCCCAGTCTTTCCCAGTTCCTCCCAGTGGCCACCAGCATGATCCCAGCTTCTGGCAGTTGCCGAAAGTGTGATCCCAGTGGCTCCCAGGATGACCCCAGCAGGAGCAGTAGTCACTCCCAGTATGGTTCCAGTCACCCCCAGTATGACCCCAGTCAGTCCCAGATACTCCCAGTATTATTGCAGTCATGCTCAGAGTGACTCCCTGGAACTCCCAGTGGGGGCCCAGTTGCTCCCAGTCGCTTCCAGTATGGTTCCAGTTGGAGCCAGCACCTTCCCAGTCACTGCCAGTATGATCCCAGCCATTTCCCATGGGATCCCAGTATGATCCCAGCATGGGCACAGCTGCTCCCATGATCATCCAGTGTGGTTCCAGTTGCTCCCATTTACCCCCAGGGTGGTTTCAGTCCCTCCCAGTGTATCCCAGTTACTCCGAGCATGTTCCCAGTCATTCCCAGCTGCCATGAGTTGCTTGCAGCCTGATGCCAGTTGCTCACAGCCACTCCCAGTCACCCTCAGTGCAGTCCCAGTGGCTGTGAGTATGATCCAGTATGATGCCAGTGACTCCCAGCATTGGCCAGCTTCTCCTCCTGTGATCCCAGTAGGATCCCAGTAGCCCCCAGCACGGTTCCAGTCACTCCCTGTTCCTCTCAGTGTGATCTCAGTTGTCCCTAGTATAGTGCCAGCCAATCCGTAGATGATCCCAGTCCCTGCCAGTGTAGTCCCAGTCATGCCCAGTTGTCCCCAGTGTACACCCAGTCACTCCCACTCGCTCCCAGTTGCCCCCGGAATGAGGTTCCAGTTCTCACCAGCATGGTCCCACCTGTTCCCAGTGTGGTTCCAGTCACCTGAGTATGGTTAACAGACACTCCTGGTATATCCCAGTGTCCCTCAGCATGCTCACAGGCATTCCCAGTCGTTCCCAGTTCCCCCAGTACAAACCAGTCCCTGGCAGGGGGGGACTCCTTGGATCCCCTGCAGCCCAAAGCAGAGAATGAGGGGAGTAGGGATCCCAGGAGCCCAAAACTCCAATCATCCCAGATGATGGAGAGATGGAAAAGGCAGGAATTGTTGTTTTTTGGATTCCTGTGACTCCCAGCAGATTGGGGAGGGCAGGGACTGAGTAGATGGGAGACCCCCCCAATGCAATTGTGCCCCCAAGCAGCTGGGATAGGGGGAACACCCAAAGGGGAGAGACCACAGAGACAGAACACCTGGGAGCCAATTTCAGTGCTAAATCTTGGTGTTTGCGATGTTTTTATGCCTGGTGACTTCTAGAGATGGACTTGGGCAGAAGGACCTTGAAACTCTGTGTGCTCATCCCCTGTTTTCCCTGCAAACCAGGATTTCCCATTCCCAACCCTTGGCTGGATGGAGGAGGAGGCTGCAAGGAAGAGGAAGATGCCCCGGGACACTGAGGCAGGTGAGGAGGAAGTCAGTGCCCCTTTCCCCTCTGTGCCGCTCCATCTCCCAGCCCAGCACGGCCCTGGCTGCAGCACAGCCCTGGGGGGATCTCCTTGCCCTTGCCTGTGGCACGGAGGCAAATCCCATCCTGTCCTTGTCCTTCCTCCCCCAGAGCAGGAGCTGTGCATGGAGAGCAGGGAGGACAAATCTCCAGGGCAGCAGAACCTCATGGAAGAGGCTGTTTTGAGTGACTCCCCGGTGCAGGAATCCGATGGGGAGGAAAAGCCCCAGAGATCCCCCAGGAGGAAGGGCTGTAAACCCAGCCCAGGGTACTCTGCGGAGGAAAGAGCCAGCCTGTGCCAGGAAGGTGGACAGAGCTTCAGCCAGAGCTCAGAGCTGGTGCTCCATGAGCAGCTCCATGATGGGGAGAAGCCCCACAAGTGCCTGGAGTGTGGGAAGAGCTTCAGCTGGAGGTCCCGCCTGCTCCGCCACCAGATGATCCACACTGGGGAGAAGCCCTACGAGTGTCCTGAGTGTGGGAAGGGCTTCAGAGACAGCCCCCAGCTCACCATCCACCATCGCATCCACACCGGGGAGCGGCCCTACGAGTGCTGGGAGTGTGGCCAGAACTTCCTCCGGAGCTCCCACCTGACCTCCCACCAGAAGATCCACTCAGGGGAGAGGCCCTACGAGTGTTCTGAGTGTGGGAAATCGTTTCCGACCAGCTCCCTTCTCCTCACCCACCAGCGGATTCACACCGAGGAGAGGCCCTTCCGCTGCCCCGTCTGCAGGAAGGGCTTCAAGCACAACTCCCACCTCACCAGGCACCGGCGCATCCACACCGGGGAGAGGCCCTACGAGTGCCCGGAGTGTGGGAAGAGGTTCAGGACCAGCTCAGTCTTGAATCAACACCAGTGGAGGCACCGCTAAGGGAAGCCCTGCAAGTGCCCCAGCTGCAGGAGGAGTTTCATGCACTGCTCCAACTTCCTCCCCCTCCAACTTCCTCGCTGCAGAGAGCCCTGGTGTCCCACATTCCCAATAATCCAAGTTGGAAAGGCCCTGCTGATCCACATTCCCAATTATCCAAGTTGAGAAGACGCCTGGCTGGTGGTCTCCACATCATCCTGGATCCCTGTAGGCACCTGTCTCAACGCTGGGGCAGGAACATCCATTGGGTCTCAGCTCCATACTGGAAAGTCCTTGGGAAGAGCTGATTTTTTACCTTGTCTTGGTTTGAAAGATAGGTGTCTGCTAAGGAAGGCAGGAGCCCTCCTTGGAATGGAAAATGTAAACTCCCTCCCTCTGAATTATTAGAATCATGAAATTAAGGGCTCTCAGGCAAAGATATGGGAATAGGAATAACAGTTCTTTGGTGGTGTGTATAGTAAAGCAAACAAAGAACAACAACTGCAGCATTGACAGAAGCTCTGCTGCACAAACCCACAGGGGTGGGTTGGATGATCCAGGTGCCCCAGCAGAGCTTGGGGAGCACCAGGCTGGGCTGGCAAGATGTGTCAGCAGGCAGGGGGTGTGGGGTGTGAAAAACACCTTCAGTCTCCTGTGAAAAATTTAAAAATTTCATAAAGGACAATAGGAAACAAGGACCATAGAGCAAAGGCAATTACAGCCAGGTGCATCTTGGCACTCAGCAGGGGATGCCCCTTAAATACCGTTTCCCTTACACCAACCTTTTGAATATTCATAGACCCTTATGCATAGTAAACATTTCCCCAAGCTAGTTTACATGTTCCAAGAACTCCTTAGCATATCTCCTCCTTGGATCTGCCTTTTTAGAGCATGAGTATTCCTGGCTTGTGGTTTTAGTCCTTTTTTTATCATCATCTTCATTTTGGCCCCAGTCCACAGTGCCTTCAGACAGTGGTTGGCAGATCTGTACAGGTGTCGTCATCCTGTGTTCATTGTGTTAGGGAAATTAATCCACAAACATCAGAGATTTATGTCCAGAAGGGAGACAGAGGAGTCCTTTTACTTATTCAAATAAAGGGAGAGGCCATGGGGCATCCCCCTGGGGTCTCTCAAAATTTTGGAGGACACAGTCTCCTTTTTATTCCAGTTTCCCAGCTGTATTTCCCTTCTGTCTTTCCCCATGGGCTGAGGTACTTGGGAGGTACAGACTTCCCAAAACACCTGATACCAAAGATTTCCCTCTAATGTATAACCCTCCCTTTTAATTTTTAATTGTTATGGAATTTAGGGGTTTCCCCCATTGTTTCTTCCATCTTTCAATGTCTAATTTCATTTATCAGCAACCCCAAAGTTTATATGTAAAGGCAAATATCTTTTCCCATTAATTAGTGGAATCTTTCCCATTGTTTCTTTTATCTCCCAGTGCTAGTTTTATCTACTAGCAGACCCACAGCTGGTTTGTAAAGACAAATCTGCTGTTCCTCTCAATTGGATGTCATCCCAACCAAAGCAGGCATTTTAGCACAAGCATAATTATATCAGCTATTTCACTACTATGTCTAACCTTAATTAACAACAGAAATAGAAACTATATAGCGAAGTTATTTTAACACCACAGATATAAAATCCATTTTTACATTTGTGAAAAGCCACTATTATAATATGTATCTATAACAGTGGCTGCAGGGCAGGGAGAGCCGAGCTCAGGGTCCCAGGCAGACGGGGATGGTCCCTCTGTCAGTGAGGTGGGTGTTAATAAGTTTGAAAAACACCAATCACTTGTTTTTAAAAATTTAAAAGTTTAATAGTAATAAAATGGTTATAAAAAATAGTAATATAATTAGAGTAATAACAATTTGGACAATTTAAATTAGGACAATATGAGACAATAGAGACAAAGAGTTACAGATGTCCAGGTACCTTCTTCTGGGCAGCACAAGCCCAAAAAAGGACACCCGTTAACAAAGGATTAACCATTAAAAAGAATAGCCTGTTGCATATTTATACACATCATACATGATGCATAAATTCCATTCAAACACAGGATTCTGTCTGGTCATTGTCGCCTTCTTTCCCTGAATCCTAAGGGCGCCTTGGAGGTGGGAAGAAGTTGCTTCTGATAAGAGGGCAATAAATTCTTTTTCTCTGAAAGATTCAGGTGTCCTGTGGCTGCTACCTCGCTGTGAGTCCTTTCTTTAAAAAGAGTATCCTACATAGCATCGTTTGTATTTAAACATTTTTTATAACCTAAAACTATTTAACACAGTACTTAAGAGAATTAATACAGCATTACTTTCTAACACAACACATATAATATTCATTTTAATATTTGTGAAAAGCCAATCATAAGATACATGCATTTTTCGCAATAAGATCCCAGTGCAGTCTCACAGCAGAGGCTCACCCTGATTTGCAGAAAAAGCCCTGCAATTTGTAGAAGCTGTAAAGCCAGTATGATTGATTTCAGTGCTGCCCTAAGGAAACGGGCACCCCCGAAAATTCCCAAATCTATTTTACCTCTTAACCTGTCGCATATGCATAAAAGACATGTGCATATGAGAGGAATGTGGGATTTGTCTTTACAAACCAGCTGTGGGTCTGCTGCTAGATGAAACCAGCACTGAGAGATAAAAGAAACAATGGGAAGGGTTCCAATCATTGATGAATGGAAAAAGATATGTGTTTTTACAAATAAACTTTAGGGTTGCTGATAAATGAAATTGTACGTTGCAAGATGAAAGAAACAATGGGGGAAACCCCTAAATTCCATAAGATTTAAAAATTAAAAAGGGGGGTTGTACGTTAGAGGGAAATCTTTGGTATCAGGCATTTTGGGAAGTCTGTACCTCTCAAGTACCTCAGCCAATGGGGAAAGAGAGAAGGGAAATTGGGATTAAAAGGAGACTGTGTCCTCCAAAAATTGGAGAGACCCCAGGAGAATGCCCCATGGTCTCTCCCTTTATGCAAATAAAGTCAAAGGCCTCCTCTGTCTCCTTTTTGGACACAAACCTCTGATGTTTGTGGATTAATTTTCCTGGCACACATCTATTAAACTGTCTTATAAATTTTATGAGCCTGCCAGTTGTTTAGTCACATAGTTGCAACCCAGATCCAGTTTTTCCATCTGCTTCAGCCCCAGGGTAGGTGGGATCCCCCTCTCCTTATCTCTCTTCAGCTTGGATGTTTGCATTCCTTTCTAGGTAGCCTTGTATCTCCTTTGTTTTCTCTGCAGGCGTTTTTGGGAGCACACAAGTTAACAGACTACAGGAGATTAAACAGCAGACTTCAGCTAAATCTAAAATTGGTTTCTACCCCGAGTTAAATTTCTAACCCACAGCTGGAGAAGCAGCTCTGGGCTGGGCTGGGGAGAAACTCCCAGATAAGAGAAGTGCAGCCAGGTGCCCTCCTCCCTGAGCTTTGGTCACATCTTTTGTTTTCTGAAGTATCCAGTTCTTAGTGTTTACTAGCAATTCTCTAAGTAAAAAGGAACAAAAGGACCCCCCAACATATCTTTGCACCCTAAAAATTCTGCTCTGTCCAATCGTTTCTTCTGGTGGCATTGAGCATAACTGGATGATCCTTTGCGGTCTTTTCCAACCTAAATAATTTCCATCTTTATCCCATCAAAACATCCAGAACTGAGGTAAAAATAAAGAAATTAAACAGAGAGATCTAAAGCTGCACCACTTCACTGGGATTTGGAGGTGAATTTGGGGTTCAGAGGAATATCCAGGAGGATGTGGGTGTTGTAGGGCTGTGGGGCCACAGTCTCGTAGCTGTGCTGGCAGAGTTTGTCCCCCAGAGCCCGTCTGTTCTCCAGGAATTCTGGCTCTGTCCCAGTCCCTGGCCTGGCTCTCCCCGTTTGGGGTGTCCTCCCAAAGTGCCCAAATCGCTGCTGAAGTGCCTGGGCTGCCCCTGGCTGGGGATGTTCCTGCCCACCAACCTCTCCTGGTCAGTGCCAGGGTGGGGGGATGGGGTTTGGGGGGTCCTGGGGGAATGGGGAGAGGCTCCTGTTGCTCTTGGGGTGTTTGTGGTGCTGGGAGGGGTTTGGGGGGCTTTTGTGGCAGACTGTGAGGGGGGTTTGGGGTCCTGGCTGGGCTGTGTGGCTTGCAGAGAATTTGGGTGGGTTTTGGGGGAGATGGGAAGGGGGTTTGGTGGCTCTTAGGGCCATTTACATTGCAGGGAGTGTCACGGACATATTTTCTAAAAAATCCTTTTGCTAGGATTTTTCTCCTGAGGAGCTGAGAAGCCTCAGAAAAGAAATGTAAACAATAACTCTGTGATGGCTGTGGAATGTGGTCTGGAGATGGTTTACCAACAGGTGCATCTTTGATTGGTCTCATGTGGTTGTTTTTAATTATTGACCAATCATAGGTCCAGCTGTGTCAGGACTCTGAGCAGGCACAAGATTGTATTCCTTTCTTTGCTAGCCTTCTGATGTCTCATTTCTCTTTCTTTAGTGTAGTTTTAATTTATCATTTTCTTATAATATATATCATAAAATAATAAATCTTTTTATAATAAAAAAATAAATCTTATATCATAAAATAATAAGCCTTCTGAAACATGGAGTCAAGATTCTCATCTCTTCCCTCGTCCTGGGCACCCTCAAACACCACCACAGAGGGAGTGCTTTGGGGAAGTCCTGGCCAGGAGCTGTGGGGTGGTTTGGGGAGTCTGGGAGGGGTTTCAGGGCAGATGGGACCCCCAAAGCAGCCACCACACTCCAGCCCAACGATGCTGCCAGGGTTCTGTGGCTCCATGTTGGGGTTCATCCTCCTGGTGCTGCAGCAGAAGGTGAGGGGGGGTCCCCAGGGGCTGTGTGTGTCCCCCCCATGCCGGTGTCACCCCTTTGTCCCTCCCCACGGGGCTCCTGCCCCAGCTCCTGCTCCCCAGAGGGAATTTGGGGAGGGGGCACAGCCCCCATCAGGGAATGACCCCAGCCCAGCCCCTTTGCTCAGCACCAGGCTGAGCTCAGGACCGATGGGAAGCAGATCCTGCAGCTGGGACAGTGTCACTGTGGTATT